TATATATATATATATATATATATATATATATATATATATATATATATATATATATATATATATATATATATATATATATATATATATATATATATTTATATATATATATTTATATTTATATTTATTTATTTATTTATGTATTCAAAAAAAATAACTTGCCATTATAGGTTTCAATAATATTTTACATTTTGTATATTATCGTTATTATTTTTATTATTATTTTACTTTGTCATTTATAATATATTTTATATGTTTGTGTTTAATTTAAAACAGACATTTTTGATTGTTCTATGTTTTTACATTTATGTGGATTTGTTTTTTTTTTGTTATTATTTTATTATTTGTTTGTGATCTCCTGCATGTCAACAAAATTCATCTGAATTTAAGAACATTTTGAAATAAAAATGTTTTTCCCAGTGTCTGAGCCTGCGCTGTTGTCCTGTGTGCGTGTTAGATCTGCATGTGTGTGTGACTATAATCAGTGTATTGTTGTTAAATTTCTAGTTTTCGATGATTAATATGTGTTCTGTGCATGTTAGATGTGTTTTGTTGTTAAATGTAAACTTTTCGATGACTGTCATGTGTTTCTGTGTCCTCTTCACTCATGTTTCTGTCGCTTCTGTTTCCAGCATTCCAGCTTTAATGGACAGAAGCAGCAGCCGGAGGAGCCCGCAGCCTCAAAGTCCCGTCCAAACCCAAAATATCAGCTTTATTTGGGCTCCAATGGGACCAGCGGCACCAGCAGAACCAGTAAAGCCAACGGGACCAGCAGCAGCTCTAACGGGTCTTTAGGGGACAGTGGTACAGGTTCAGGTTTGGGTTCAAGTGCTGCAGTCAATGGGAATCTGTTGCGGGTCAGTTCTGTAATTCGCGGGTCCATGGAGTCGCTGTCGTCCCGGGACTGGGACAGCATGTCGGACAGAGTGAGTTTGGACTATACTGACTATTACATGATAGAGATAACTGAAATTCTAAAGGTTAAACATTGGTCAAAATTATTTTATTTTATTTATTTATTTTATATTATATATTATTTATTAATGTATTTAGTGTTATTTTATTGTTAAATTTTTATTTATTTACTTTTTTATTTTATGTTGTTGTTTATTTTTTATTTTCTATATTTGTTTATTTATTTACTAATTTATTTTATTTTATTAATTTTTAATTTTATTTTATATATTTATTTACTATTTTTTATTTATTTTATTTTATGTTATTATTTATTTTAATATTTTCTTAATTAATTTATTTATTAACTTTTTATTTATTTTATGTTATTTATTTATTTTTATTTTCTTCATTTGTTTATCTACTTACTAATTTATTTAATTATTTTTTATTTTATTTATTTACCTATTTATTTACAAATTTTTTTTTTTTACTATTTCATTTTATTTTGTTATTATTTATTTTTTTATTTTCTTTATTTGTTCATTTATTTGCTAATTTATTTTATTTAATCACTTTTTTCTTTTATTTATTTGTTTAAATTTTGTTATTTTGTTATTATGTATTTTTTTAATTTCTTCCTTTCCTACTTTTATTTATTTTATGTTGATATAAATTTTTTATTTTCTTTATTTGTTTTCCCTATTTACTAATTTATTTTATTTAATTATTTAATTTTTCATTTTATTTATTTACTATTTTATATTTTATTTTATTTATATTTCTTACTAATTTTTATTTTATGTTAGTATTAATTTTTATATTTCCTTTCTTTATTTTTTTACTTTTTTTATTATTTTATGTTATTATTTATTTTT